TTATTATGAGTGTTATAATATTTTTTGATTATTTTTGTTTTATTTTTGGCATTTTTCTGATTTTTTAACGAGATCATGAAAATATTTTTGAATTACCGTACAGCTGGTTAATTTTGCGGAGAAAAATTTTGTGAATCCTTAAAAATAACCTGGTTTGCGGATTAAATATTTGCGGTTTTGACAGTTATTGTAGCATTATCTACTGTGGTCATGCATGAATTTCATTATTTTGCGGATTTAAATTTTGCGCTTTAAATGGAATCGCAAACTCGCAAAATTTAATTCCCCGCAAATATTTCCTGCTGTACGGTATTTTATTTTTATTTTTGGAATTTTTTCTGAATTTTTTTCAACAGCGTGGGAATATTTTTGGATTTTTTTAGAACTAAGAACCCTGTCAGAAAACACTCTCATTATTTCATACTCAATGCCTCTAGGACGTTGAGAGCTACGACCCAATCCTGAACCCTGTCCTATCCTAGACAACAACAGGTATCCCCAATTCTAATTATACATGTAGTAACTTCTAATTATAGTAACAACACATCTAAATATAGTAACAACTATCACATGATGTAATCATTAATGTGTTTATTTTTAGAATCATCACTAATAATAGTAACAATACATCTAAATATAGTAACAATTATTACTTTATGTAATCTTTGTTGTGTCTATTTTTAGAATCATTACTGCAGAAGTTCAGAGGAAGATGGAGGAGACTGATACTGTAATGGCTGAAGTTGACAGAGTCTCCCAGCAATACCTGCCTCTCTCCACCTCCTGCTCTGCCATGTACTTCACTCTGGAGTCACTCAATCAGGTAATTGAAATCATGTGACTGTCGTGTGATTTAGCGGTACTTTATTTTGATGGTTTTGCTTCAAAAATACATTAGGACCCTCCGTACCATGTATCAGGGAATGACATAAGCTTAGAATATTAGCATTTATTATTTATTTAGCTTAGTAAGCTAAATAAATAATAAATGCTATTATTCATTTTTTTTCTTATTTTTTTTATTAATGTAGGATTTTATTTCATGGCTCAATAGTGTTTCACCTGAAGACAATGTGCC